AGTATTTAATATGCACAGGCTCATTTTAATTGTATAAACACACCTGAAAAATGTACCTTTATTTCTCACGGTTGAAATTCATTAGGCTGTATTGGTGCTGTGAAACTCTAAAAGGATTAAAATTGTTCATCCATAGAAGCTTGGGTTTGGGCTCAGTAATCATTAGCATTTTCTATTATGATTATAAATGGTAAAATTAAAGAAAAAAAGCTGGCACATTAAGATCTTAATCAACATAATCAACTGACTGAAGAATGACTAATTCCTTTTATTATCCAAGGGTGTATTGTAGCTTAATTGATCACCTGTGATGTGTGGAGAGTTTATTAGTAAGTGAGGTGTGTCAAAATGCCTATTATATTATATCTGTGATCTACTGTCCTTGCCTTTTTATGTAAAAGATTAGTGCATTATGGGAAAAACAATGGTTATGCTAAGTATTTCAGAATATGAAATAAATATTTCAGATAATGAAATCTCTGTGACTATAAAATAAAATAAAATTCAGTGAGACAAATTATTTTAAACGTACACAGAAAGGAAATTGCAGTGTGTAGTATAAGCAAGAGAATAACGAAGGTAGAAGAATCAGAAAGATTGTTCTGGTTAAAAAAATTCTGGACAAAAGGGACTATTGACGAATAATGTTCTCACCTCCCACATCAGTCACCTAATATTTTATTTTCCTGTGGGTGGGATAGGCCACATACCTGAAATGTGAGTCACAAAACTGGAAAATGTTGTAAACACACTCCAGCGATGTTTTAAGTTTGGAGAGGTCTCCATCTTGCAATTCAAAGTGTCATCCAGACTCTGGCATTATAGGGAAGCTCATTGAAATGCACAATTTTGGACCCCACCCCAGGCTTACTGAATGAGAACACGGATGATTAGCAAGAGTCCCAGAAGATGTGAATATATATTAACGTTTGACAAACACTGAACTTAAAGGTATTAAGGGAATGTGGAGTGCTAAAGGGGTGGTTTAATAATTGTTTGACTTTGTGTATATTGAATTGCTTTTGAGACTAAAATAAGAAAATGTGGTTTGGAAAGGATTTCTTGAAATAAAATTTATTTACTGGAAATGACATTATAAAATTGTATTAATTTTCTTCATTTTTATTCCAGGACATATTTTAAATATAGTCTCAAACCACTTGATTCTTTCTAATTATTATTCTGTTTTGCAATTTCAAACAAGTAATCTCCCTAACATAATGTTTTCATACGCTAAAATTTCACTTTTACTTTTTACCACAAGTAGTCAAGCATATTTCGAACAATTTTTTTCTAAACATAATTATCTAATTAAAAAAAGGTTTACTGACACCTGCATACACATAACAATGTGCTGTTCTCTAGTGAGGGAAATTCTATGAACTATAATCACATAGACATGATTTGGAATTATATGTTAATGTGAAGCAAATCTATACATATAAGAAGTTACATGTCAGGCTTGAAATTAAAAAAGGAAGTATGTAGAATATTTTTTTAAATCATCTTGTTTCAGATGCAATGAACTAAAGGTTCAGATTTAACTTCCCTGTAGTAGACATGTTTAAAATTTTTAATTGATTTGGTTTTGATGAAGTGGGTTTTGAAAATTAATTTACCTAATACCCTGTAGGATATATTTTAAATAAGAAAGATTGAGGTTAAGAAAACCTGTTAGTAGATACTGTACACTCTTTTGCATAAAATGGTGATGATTTAAAGTAATGTAGTGGGACATATAATAAGAAAAAAAGAGCTGACAACCAAGAAAAAGAAGAAAAAAATTCAAGGGATGGATTGACTAATGATGTAATAGGTCTACTTGGTTAAATGGAAGTATCAGAGATGTTTTGTATTTTGAGTTGGGTAACTGGAAGAATTACTTGTGGTATTCATAATAAAGGCACATTGTTTTGAAAAGGCTGACCAATAGGCTTCTAGCTACAGAGCATGCACCAAGGAAAAATTAACATAGGGCAAATATTGTTGGTTTGTTCCACTATTATCTTTTCTTTCTCTCTTTCTTTCTTTCTTTCTTTCTTTCTTTCTTTCTTTCTTTCTTTCTTTCTTTCTTTCTTTCTTTCTTTCTTTCTTTCTTTCTTTCTGTGTTGATTAGTTGTTCCTTTTTTATAGCAATTTTAGATTTTCAAGAAAATTGAGAAGATGCAGAGATTTTTTGTATATCACTGCCTGGCACATGCATAGTCTCTCTCTTTATCAACATTACTCATCAGAATGGCACTTTAAAAAAAATCAGTGAACATACATTGCCATATTATAATCAGTCAAAGTCCATAGTTTACCTTGGAGTTCAGTCTTGGTGTTGTACATTCTATGGGTTTGGACTAACATGTGAGGATGAATGTAATGGTTTTTGAGGATTCCACTGATATATCTCGCTCAGAGTCTTCGGCCATGTCCGGTCTACTAATGACTCTATTTTAGGCATTCTTCACGTCTGTTATATGTCTTTTTTTTAACTCTAGCATTTGTTTTTAAGTCTTTCTTAGGATTTTCATGTCTCTGCTTACATTGTCCATCTGTTCTTGCATGCTGTCTCTTCATTAGAATCCTGAGCATGTTTCTCATAGTTGCTTTAAATCCCCAGTCTGATAATTCCAGCAACATTACTATGTCTGGTCTGATGCTTCCTCTTCCTTTTCAATTTGTGCATTTTGCCTTTTGGTTTACCTTGTAATTTTTTTCTTGATAGCCAGACATGATGTACAGGTAAATGGGAGTGCTGTATATATAGTTGCTGACAAATATTTTAAAATAAAAAGGGATGAAATAAGAACTGTTGCTTCAATAACTTTTAAAGATTTTATAGAAGACAGAAGATACCCTGACTCTCCACTAAGAGTAAGTGGAGAGTTACACAAACTCTCCACTAACTCTTAGGAACAGTGTAAGTTTATAGAAAATAGCATCTAATGTGTCCTAAAAAGGCTTCATAAAAGACAAACATCATTTTGGTAAATATTCCTATTCCTTAGAATCCAATCAGTGTGAGTGTATATAAAGTCAGTGCTTCGTGATGGAAAACTGTTTTATGCATCAGATGATTTCTATACTCCAAGCACCGTATCTCACGGTGCAGTTTAATACAGTTTTCCTCTGTCATGGGGTCCGCTTCACATGCCGTGGAGACCTCCGCTACCACTTAACACATTCAAGAGAAATGCTGCCTCACCATTAATCTTATTTCTAAAGCATGTTTACATTAGTCTGTAAATTTTCTTAATAATAAAACAAAAGAGTTTATAGGTTGTTTACGAATCACTATGGATCAAAGCGTCAATGTCAATGCTGGAATACTGAGAACGCATTGTCCTGCTGGAGAAGTAGAACTCAGTTTTTCTGGTCCCCTATCATATCCTGAAATAAAATTCATGCTTAACAGAAAACAAAACCAAATTGAACCCAAGTTGAAAAATTTAAAGTAAAAAAATGGCATTTGAACAATAATATAAATGAACAATAAAATAAAGTATAATTTTAAAATATGTATTTTTGTACATAAATGTTGTGGCATAACTACAAAAGGAAGTGTGGCGTTCAGATATTTGAATCAACTGACCATTCATTCATTCATTCATTCATTCAATCAAAGTGTTTATTGAGTACCTACTAGGTACAATATTCTGTTCTAGGCACTGTGAAAACTGTAGCAAAGTATAGAGCAAAACTCCCTTACGTTATGGAATTATACAGATAGACAGAATACATAAACAACAAGTAAATAAAGCACATATGGTATATGGGTATACATAACATATTGATTGTGGTTTCAAGAAATACCTGAAGGAAATAAGCGGACTACTGAAGCTGATATCTATAGGGAAAAGGGAATGAGTAACAAGGTCCTGGTTGGGGAGCAAAACATATGATATATGTTTCAGGGTGAAGTAAAAAGAATACTTTGGCTGGAAAGGCCAAATTTGGGGGAATAATGTGGAGGATTAAAATAAAACATGAGGTCAGAGAAGTGACCAGCTCTTATGAAGCCACGTACAGAATTGTAGATCTTTGTCAGACCTTGGGTTTTAATCAAAGTGAGATGAATAGTCATTGGAGTATTTTGTGCATAGAAGTGACACAGTCTGACTGACATTTTAATGACAGTACCTGGGATATTTTGTTGAGAAAACAAGCCCAGGAAGGGAGGTGGAGAGCAGTCAAGAGCATCACAGAGATCTAGACCTGGGCAGCAGCAGTGGGTGCAGATAGAAGCGAACAAATTTCCCAAACACTCCTATATGGTTAAATTATTCTAGACAATAGTATTACTTACATTACAATTTGATTTGCTGTATAGTGATTTAATTATCTATTATAGGAAATGCTAGTAGTTTCACGGACTGAAATATGGGGAAGAGAGGAGAGATCTTTAGCCAAAAGCACTCCAACTTTGGTTTCATTTTCTACTTGTTCTAGCAAGATTAAATTTGAGGAAGTGGTGCCACTGTTTAAAAAAAAAACATTTGCATGTAACATTGCATTGCACAACAGACGCATGTTTCCCATAGTTAATTTACATTACCATTTACTTTTAATGTTTTAATTTGTTAAGCTACTCTGGAAAAATTGATATGCAAAATTAACTACATTTTTACTGTGTGTAGATATTATAATTCCTGAAAAGTTAAAGTGCCAAAACATAAAAAGAAATGAAAACTTAATGTGTCCCTTCTTTAAAATGTGTTTGAAAGAAATTATTTACCATTATCTTTTTTAAATTGAAGACATGTTACTAGACAAATAATAGATCTCAGAATTACTCATTATTTTATATAAAAGAGGAAAATAAATATTTTAGTTGCTATTACTCATTAATCTTTGTCACATTAAGTTTAAAGCGAAGCGTAACATTCATAATGTTGTCAACTGACATTTTTTTATTTGTTTGTTTGTTTGAAGCTTTTGGAAACATGTCAAAAACATTGATGAAATGTTGGAAACCAGTTGAAACACAGTAAAATTCAACTCAGTAAAACAGGACTACTTTCTCTTCATCCACGTTGTGAATTTTCAAGAAGTGAACTATGACAATATATCAATTTTTACTACCATTTCTACTCTGGGTGTGCCTGCCACATTTCTGTTCTCCAGAGATAATGTTCAGAAGGACTCCTGTGCCTCAGCAGAGAATATTAGGTCCACGCGTACCTAGAAGTGATGGCAAAATTCTGCACCGTCAAAAACGTGGTTGGATGTGGAATCAATTTTTCTTACTGGAGGAATATACGGGATCTGATTATCAGTATGTAGGCAAGGTAAGTCTGTAGTAAAATGGCAAATATTTACATTCTTTCCTTGTGTGTTTTATTAAGGATACGTTGAAGGACATCAAAACCAACACTTATAAATTTGATTCTCTCAATATTTTCACAATATTTTATTTACTTATTTTTAGAGAGGGGAAGGTAGGGAGAAGAATGGGAGAGGAGCATCAATGTGTGGTTGCCTCTTGAGCACCCCCCATGTGGACCTGGCCCACAACCCACGCATGTGCTCTAGACTGGGAATCAAACTGGCAACTCTTTGGTTCAGTGGCCAGCACTCAATCCACTGTGCCGAACCAGGCAGGGCATGATTCTCCCAATATTTCTAAAGCAACTTTTGTTTATGGAATACACATTATAATTTGCAAAACTGTAGAATTAATGAATGTAGCATGATAAGTATAGGAATTGATTTACTAGAATTCTGTCCACTGGTTCATGGATTAAAGAAGTATTAAAAATTGCAAATTTAGATTTTTTAGCTAGAAATCAATGATAGTGAGAAAACTATGTCAATGCATATACATATATAAATAAATAAATAAAATAAAGTTTGCATAGCTGTTGACTTTAGTAAAGAAGAAAAAACATGTTTAAAAGTTGTTTAACATGCTGCAGAATGAGAAAACAAATATAAATATATGACCTAGGGCCCCCAAATTTCTTATTTATAAGAAAACATTTCCTGATGTTAGTGTTATTTATTTTGCTGAAGTCCCAAAATGGATACATTCATATAAAGGAAAAATAAATAGGAGGACAAACAGGCAAAAAATAGTTTATTATAATATGATGTGTACAGAAATGAATTATCATTCTATTTAATTATAAAAGTTAGCAAAGAAAATTATTTATCATTGGGGATGATATGAAAAGTGAGACATAAAAGTGCTATAATAATAAATGCTTCTATAAACTAGGTTGTATTAATTTCTAATTTTATTGACTGGCAGAATCTACTTGATGGTATATAACGTCTTAAGAAAAAAGTTACTTTAATAGTTAAGTTTATTATTTTTATGGACAGTCTATAAAAATATGTCAAAGAAAGGAGAGAAGTTGAACACAGCAACAAAAAAGAAAACAGATATAATCACATTAACACTATAAAATGATGATAGATACATTATGTCTTGGTGACTTTTGCATTAACCTAAACTTTAATAGCTTAATTCAAATAATTACAACTGTGCTAAAAGTTTTTGTTGTAAGAAAATTATTTTTGGAGGATAGAAGCTTATTAATTTTAAAATACTTTGGTATATATTTTTCATGTTTCAATTATTTTATTTGTTTTAAGAGTTTAGTAATATGGGAAAATGTCATTAAAGGTTAAATCTCGTGTTGACTATTAAGAAAAAATAGATAGCGATATTATCAGAAATAATGCAGGAGCAGGCATCACTGGCTTCATGTGATTGAATGACTAAGATCACAAGGTCAAAGTAAATTTCAGGGTTGCTGAAATGGGCAAGTTTTAGTTTATGAAACCAACCACATGAAAACATAGAAACCTGAACCATAGAAACTAAATAGTTTCCTTTGCTTCTTCCTGGACATGGTAATGATTTGCTTATTTGCATGTGTTTTTCTGCATCAAATCCTTAATGAGGATTTAGTAAATGTTCATAAATTGAATTATCATTACATTATATATCTTCTCATGATATTCAAGGTACTTCTTATGTACTTTCATTTGTTGTCTCTCCAAGAGTGTGATCACCTTGAAATCAAGAACATTTTTGCTCTTTGTCTCTAGCTGTCAGAGTAGAGCTCATTATTTAGTGGATTGAATTGACCTGATTTGTATTGAATTGAATTCCCAGAGTCATCTGATACCACTTGGTTCTCGGTAGGGAAAACTAGTCTACAATTTTAAATCACTTTGGGCAACTAAAGCTGGTAAATACTTCATATTTATGTATCTTGATACACAACTCAATTTGTATTCTTTGTTACTCTGCTTTCAAAAAGCAAATCAGAAAACTCCTTAATGATGGCAGGCATAAAGAATTTATAAAATGCATTCACCAGTTTTTTTTTCTATATGGTATATGCTAAACTATTAGATTAACAGAAATACATTAGATGCTGTAGCTTTAATGTACACAGTGCATATATCTAGCTTATATTTCAAGTCCATTTTTATTTCTATCACTTATTTGTAACAGTTTCACACCTTTGAAATATTTTAAAATTTCTCATCTATAGTATAGTATATACTTATATTAATTACTTATTAATTACTTATTATTAAGTACTTATATTGCATTAATAACACACAATTAAAAGCTTTATTTTAAATATAAACATTAATTTGTATAAGCTAAAAATGGAATGTGGGATATATAATATTTTAATAGATATACATTGTAATGAGCATAAGTTGAGGCTGACATATTTCTGCATGAAGTATAAGAAAATTTAAAATCCTCCAGATATTCTTTTCAACATTACTTCTAATGAATTTATTACATTCGTTCTCTTTTTAGGAATTTTCCTTCCAATCTGTGCCTCTTTTAGTGTAGCCATGTGCTGTAGTAGATGTAAGTGATTTAATGTCTCAAGGTTAGGTTAGACGTAGGAGTGATGCATGTCCCAATCACTATATAGGCAGGTAGTGACAGACACCATTGTCCTGAGAAACATCTGTCGGGCTCTGAACAGGGCCAGTGGAGAGAATTATACTGGTGGACTAAGGGCAAGACTGAATGGCTTATGCATGAGGGGGGGAAATTTAAAAATACCAAAAAATGAGCCAACCAAATCCTATAAAGAATGAATGATATATAACTTCTCAGATAAAAACCCTTTCCTTCTTAAAGTGTTAAAGCAAAGGACGAAACCCTTACTTCTCATTGGATTATAGCAGAAAAAAAGCTAGGGAAAGGATATAATGGCCAATCAGAAGACAGAAGATGTAACCTCGTTTCTGCCACTAATTTTTTTGTCAGTAGTTAAATCAACTATCATCTCTTGTCCTTCATTTTCTCATCTATGAAATCAAAGTGCATTATTATGTTAGTGGTTTTATATATATATATGTATATATATGTATATATATACATACTTAACATATATTATGTATTTAATATATGTTCTTTATGTGAATATATATTCTTAGTATATTCTTATATATATTCTCAATGTATATCATATGTATAGAGTATACAAGTATTTAAAACCTATTTAAGAAAATAAAGGAAGTGAAGAGAGAGACACACACACAAAGAGGAAGAAAGCCCAGGGGCTGAACTGCCACTCTGCCACAACTGTTACTGAGACACCAAGCCAGTACTGAACTCAAGCATTAATCTTTGTTCAGTGTTCAATGACAAAAAAGCAGTGTATCTAAATTCCATGAAGTACATTCTAAAGCAGTGTTCTAAGTTATTGTTTTTTTGGCAAGATAATCACAAAATTGCTCTTTAAGAAATTTCTTACTGGGTAATACCTGCTCCCCTTCCAAAGCAGTGGGCTTCAAAGTTGGACTTCAAACATTCCACTTTGCACTGTTTTCATATTGCAGACCTTATGTAAAACATACTTAAAATTCCCAGTTTAAGATTTGAGAAACATTATCATTATAAATGATTTTTAAATAATGTCTTTTTACATGTAGCTTGTAATTACAGGTCCCCATCACCTGATTCAATTATGCTGGATAGATCATTTAAAATTTTTAGGCTTGCAACTATTCAAATAGATAAGTATGACATAAGGCTAGACACTCTTGAGTTTACTTTTGTCTATAATAAATGTAAAGCTCTGAGTGAATTACCAGTTTTATTTACTACACACAATTTGTTTGCATTTATATAATTATTTTCAAGGAGAGAAAAGCATGTTAAAAATAGATTTTAAATCAAAACCAAAGATTGATAAAAATTCCCAAACACCCTAAAATTAATAATATAATTAGGGCACAATAAACCTGATTCTGAGTTGGCACAGTAAATTAATTTTCTCAAGGAAGTAAACACATAATACATATTTTTAAATAACTTGGGAACTGTCTATATTTTTTTGATGTAATGAGAACATGCACAATCCAGAGATGTGAAACATATTCATGGGGCCTCTGAACCATCAGGCCTAATATCATCTCATTGATGTCATCCAAATACAAAATACATATGGCACATACCTTCTTAATCTGTTGCTTATAATTCTTGCAGAGCTCTCAGTTGTTCATTATTGAAAAGTCAAAACCATGTTTAATTATTTAATTTCATATCCTTTTCATTGAAGTACTGATGTCTTCCAGCAGCTGGATCAGTCAAGGTTGCTTTTTATTTTAGCAGGTTAAAAACAGTGTAGACATTTATAGCTCTCCTTTCCTCACATTGTTACCTGAGCTGCCCTTCTACCCTGGGGTACATGGACCCCCATAGTTCACAATGGCTTTCTCCTTCCATACTTCACATGTATAACCCAAGATGAAACTTCGTGCTCTTTCTTGAGTAGCCTGTGGAACCCTGTTCCTGAAAATCTAACTACTTTTGTATGAACAGGCATCTTGCTGGTCAGTCGACTTTCAAATACTTCATTTTGTACTTTCTGACTCTAAACTGTCCCGTTATTGAAAATGAGGAAATGAGTCATACATTTTCTGGTTTATCTCAATACTATGCCTTTAGGGTTGTCATGTTTGCCCACATATCCCTGAAATGAACATGATGACCTGAATCAAAATGCTACAGATCAGTGGTTTTGACCAAGGATGATTTTGTCCCCCAGGGGACATTTGACTATGTCTGGAGACATTTTTGGTCATCACAACCTGGGAAGTGGGATGCTGCTGACACCTTTGACAGACATGAGGGATGCTGTTAAAACTCCTACAATGCACAAGACAGATACTTCTATAAAATCATCTGATTCTAAATGTCAGTAGTGCGAAGATTGAAAAACCCTGCCCTAGACCTCCTGAGTTTGTTACTGACTTCTTCATTTTCCTCAAGAGCTTGATTTTACTTCTCTCAGCATTC